AGTGCAGTGATGTGATCACAACTTACTGCAGCCTCAACCTCCTGGGCCCAAATGATCTTCCTGCCTCAGACTCCAGAGTAGCTGGGACTACGGGCACATGCCACCACACCCGGCTAGTTAAGTTTCTATATTCCACTTTTAGTCACAGAACATTGATTCTAAGTAGACTCTAAACGTATGTACATTGTAATCCCTAATGCGACCACTAATACTGCCTCAATATTTTGCCTGAAAGGTTAAAATTTACCCAGCACTTTGGGAGGCCGAGGTAGGAGAATCACTTAAGGCCAGGAATTTAAGACTTTGTCTCTTTCCATAGAAAGAGAAGTAGGGCCGGGTGCGGTGGCTCAAGCCTGTAATCCCAGCACTTTGGGAGGCCGAGGCGGGTGGATCACGAGGTCAAGAGATCGAGACCATCCTGGTCAACATGGTGAAACCCCATCTCTACTAAAAATACAAAAAATTAGCTGGGCATGGTGGCGCGTGCCTGTAATCCCAGCTACTCAGGAGGCTGAGGCAGGAGAATTGCCTGAACCCAGGAGGCAGAGGTTGCGGTGAGCTGAGATCGCGCCATTGCACTCTAGCCTGGGTAACAAGACCGAAACTCCGTCTCAAAAAAAAAAAAAAAAAAAAAAAAAGAAATAGTGAGAATTTTAAGAATTAGCCAGGTGTGATGATATGCATGTGTAGTCCTAGCTATTTGGGAGGCTGAAATGCAAGGATCACTTGAACCCAGGAGTTAAAGGTTACAGTGAGCTATGATTGTGCCAATGCACTCCACATCAACCTGGGGACAAAGTGAGACCCTGTCAAAAAAAAAAAAAAAAAATTAAATTTATTCTCAACTTTGTTAATGAGATAGTTTATTTAGGCAGAAAATACGCTAAGATGCTTTACTCCTCTAGAGCAATCTTCCAGAAATCTGGGAGATGATGAAAATAACATTACTCATTAATGGTATTACCAAAACATAGCTAGTGTACATCTTACTAAATGTTATACATGCTGTATTTCAGAGTATCAATGCTTTTAACTTCTAGGTTGTGACAGCCTCCTTCCAGATGACACTTAAAAATGCCCACCTCTGCAGATCACAACATCAGCAGTTTGAGACCAGCCTGGCCAACATGGTGACCCCCACCCCACCCCTGTCTCTACTAAAAATACAAAAATTAGCCCAGCGGGCTGGTAGGGGCCTATAATTCCAGCTAGTTGGGGGGCTGAGGCAGGAGAATCGCTTGAATCCAGGAGGCGGAGGTTGCAGTGAGCTAAGCCAAGACCACGCCATTGCACTCCAGCTTGGGCGACAAAGTGGGACTCCATCTCAAAAAATAAATAAATAAATGTCTACCTCCTAGAATTCAGGCCTTGCGTGTAAGCAGACTTGGTCTGTGTGAACAACAAAATAAGAGAATTGATATGATACTTCCAGAGGCTAGGTTACAAAAAATATCGTGGCTTCTGCCTTGCCCTCTGGTGTTGCTTGCTCTGGGGACAAATTAACTGCCATGTTGTGAAAGGCCCTCTGGAGGGGAACATGTGGCAACCAACTGAGGTCTCCCGTCAACAGCTGTTGAGTCTTGCGGGAAGCAAATCTTCTAGCCCCAGTGACACCTTTTGAAAGATTGTAGCCCTGGTTGGTAGCTTGACGAAAACCACAAGACTATCACCCAGCTAAACCACTCTCAGATTTCTGAGGCTCAGAAACTGGTGATAAAATTTTTTTTTTTTTTTTTTTGAGACGGAGTTTTGCTCTTGTTGTCCAGGCTGGAATGCAATGGCGTGATCTTAGCTCACTGCAACCTCTGCTTCCGGGGTTCAAGTGATTCTCCTGCTTCAGCCTCCCAAGTAAATGGAATTACAGGCATGCATCACCACACCCAGCTAATTTTTTGTATTTTTGGTAGAGATGGGGTTTCACCATGTTAGTAAGGCTGGTCTCGAACTCCTGACCTCATGATCCACCCACCTCGGCCTCCCAAAGTGCTGAGATTACAGGTGTGAACCACCGCGCCCTGCCTATTTATTTATTTATTTATTTAAGACGGGGTTTCACCATGCTGGTCAGGCTGGTCTTGAACTCCGACCTCAGGTGATCCGCCCGCCTTGGCCTCCAAAGTGCTTGGATTACAGGCGTGAGCCACCATGCCAGGCCCAATATTTGTTTTAAGCTGCCAAATTTTGATATTATTTTCTAGCAATAGATAACTAATATGTATTTTAATCCTTGTGGCGTAAGATACACATCACGAATTATCTTCTGCAAAATACTGAAAATAAGCAGAATGTGTAGACATGGTTAAATAATGGCATAGTTAATAACTTACATCTGTAGACTAAAATACTAAAGAATGAGGCTCTTTGATGTACTGATAAAAATCTTCAAAAAATAAGATTAAGATAAACATAATCATTGCATGTCTATGCATAGACTACTGCTGAAAGAATATACACAAAAAACGGGGAAATGTTGACTGTCTTGGGGACTGAAGTAGGGGGCTTTCATTTTACACATCATGAATTTTCCATTATGTATTATAAAGATTTATGTGTTACATTAACAAAATTTAAGAAAAACAGAAACATGAAAGCATTATTTGTGATTGTGTAACAGCTTCAACTCCCTTAAAGAGTAAGTCTAACCAAAGCGCTAGGAATACATACAAAAAAATAAGTAATTTGAACATGTAGTTATGTGTCTCAAAAAGGTTTTCAACATTAGCTACTAATATGATAAGGAATTAAGACTCTACTGCACTAAAAAATAACGTGATGTAGGAAAGAAAGCTATGACACTTTTTACATTAAACAACTTATTTGAAAAACACAGATTACATAACCTATTTTACAACCACAACCACTGGCAAAAAAAAAAAAAAAAAGTAAAAAGTACATAATTTTTTTTTTTTTTTTTTCCCGAGACAGGGTCTCACTGTTGCCCAGGCTGGAGTGCAGTGGCATGATCATGGCTCACTGCAGCCTCTACCTCCCAGGCTCAAGCAATTCTCCCACCTCAGGTTCCTGGGTAGCTGGGACCCCAGGCACACACCACCATGTTCAGTTAATTTGTGTGTGTGTGTGTAGATGGGGTATCTTTTTTTTTTTTTTTTTTTAAGAGACGGGGTTTCGCCATGTTGGACAGGCTGGTTTCAAACTCCTGACCTCAAGTGATCCACCCGCCTCGGCCTCCCAAAGTGCTGGGATTACAGGCGTGAGCCACCACACCCAGCCAGAGATGGGGTAGCTCTATGTTGTCCACGCTGGTCTCAAACTCCTGGGCTCAGGCGATTCTCCCACCTCAGCCTCCCGAAGTATTAGGAATATAGGCAGAAGCCACCACATCTGGCCTAAACGGATTTCAATATGTATTTAGTTTTGCTGGTTTTTGTTGTTGTTTTGTTTAGACAAGGTCTCACTTTGTCACCTAAGCTGGAGTGCAGTGGCAGGAACATAGCACATTGCAGTCTAAATCTTCCAGGTTCAAGTGATCCACCCACCTCAACCTCCCAAGTGACTGGGACTACAGGCATGTGACACCACGCCTGGCTTGCTGGATTTTCACATGGTGCAGCTATGATGGTATTACAGGTGTACAAGATGGAAAGGCCCTTCACAATGAACAGACTCCAGAAGCGTCTGCTAGTTGCTATCTCTCTCTTGGAAAGATCTGAAAAACTCTAAGTTTTCCTACAAAAAAGTTATGTTTCTAATGAGTTTGCAGCATACTGTAGGTGCATGACATTGAATTCATGAACTAACTCTTGAATCTCTCAATGACAGATCTTGTTCCAAATTAATAAATTAATATCTCAGTGTACAAGTCACCACATCAAAATAATATACTGTTAATTAGTGTTTCAGTAATAATTTCCTTTAGATTTTTCCCTGGATTACCAAAGTATACAGTGTTTTATTCATTTTAAATTGCTACATATTTTACATAATGCTTATAAGCCATAATTGATTTAATCACATTCTTATTAGATATTTAGTTTATTTTAAGGTATTCTCTTTTTTTGAGAAGGAGTCTCGCTCTGTCACCAGGCTGGAGTGCAGTGGCATGATCTCAGCTCACTGCAATCTTCGCCTCCCACCTTAAAGAGATTCCCCTGCCTCAGTCTCCCACCCACCCGAGTAGCTGGGACTACAGATGCTCATCACCATGCCTGGCTAATTTTTTGTATTTTAGTACAGACAAGGTTTCATCATGTTGGCCAGGATGATCTCGATTTCCTGACCTCATGATATGCCCACCTCGGCCTCCTAAAGTGTTGGGATTACAGGCGTGAGCCACTGCACCCAGTCTATTTCAATGTATTCTATATTAAAATAAAAAATTCAGTGTGCAAAAATGAAGACTTTAAGTTGTATTTAAAACTCACTCTAGGCAGGACACAGTGGCTCACACCTATAATCCCAGAACTTTGGGAGGCCCAGGAGGGCAGATGAGGTCAGGAGTTCAAAACCAGTCTGGCCAACATAGTAAAACCTTGTCTCTCCTAAAAATACAAAAATTAGCTGGGTGTGGTGGCACACGCCTGTAACCCCAGCTTCCGGGGAGGGAGGCTGAGGCAAGAGAATTACTTGAACCCAGGAGGCAGAGGTTACAGTGAGCTGAGATCATGCCACTGCACTCCAGCCTAGATAAAAGAGTGAGACTCCATCTCAAACAAATAAAACAATAAATAAATAAATAAATAAAAATAAACTTTAAAGCATGATCATGGCACAACAGAACGTTAATCCAGGTCAAGCATCCCTAATCTGAAAATCCGAAATCCAAAATGCTCCAGAATTGGGAACTTTTTCAGAGCAGACATGATGCTCAAAGGAAATGCTCATTAAAGCATTTTGAATGTCAGATTAGGAACACTCAAAAGCTAAGTATAAAGCAAATATTCCAAAATTTTAAAATATCTGAAACACTTATGGTCCCAAGCATTTTGGATAGGGATACTCAACCTGTACATACCATTAAAATAAACCAACAACTACAAATCCAGCAACATGAAGAACAGTTCACTGATTAGATGAACGTATACACATATAATCAATGAAAACTGTATGATATAAAATAATTTAAAGACATGTTGGGAATTTGCAGCACCATCTGTTATTGAAATAGCAAGGAAAACTTCACATATTTTAAGCAAACACAAGAAGGCAGTAACTACTTTAAGACCTAACAATGCCATTGGTATGGTATGAAAAAGAAGGGAATTATTTTTGGCAAACACACTTTCCTCTATGCCGAAGATTTAGTAAGCATATCTGATGATTAAGGTTTTAGAAAAATGCTACTGATGTAAGAGATACTGCATAGTATTTTAATTGGGACAAGACTTACTGTAGCATAGCTCAATACTTCTATGAAAAATTTAGCTCTGAATTATGAAATCAGAAATTAAAAATGTTTGAAAGATACTTGTCTCTAAGAAACATGAAGTGAAACACAGGTCACTATGAAAATACATCACTTTTCCAGCCTGCTTAATAATTTACTTTAAAAAGTTGCGCAGTTTTCAAGACAAGTGGCTTATACAAATTTTTTAATAAGCATTTAAAAAGTTTAAATGTTTTTCTAAAATCTAATAGATTCTTTTGATTTCTTTAAACATTTAGCCCTGTTGTCACAATTACTGTGTATCAGAGGAAGAGACTGAATTTGTGTGCGTACAAATTTATACAAATTTTACAGCAACTTATACCCTAACAACTACAAAATTCACATTTATAATACAAGCAAGTACAAGGCCAGGATAAAATTGCTGAATTCCAAAAAGTCGAACTGTATATTCTTTTAATTTTGTCCCCTTAAAAAAAGTTCAACTTCGGCACCAAATTTAAAAAGCCCTCTTATATCCCAAGTTGGAAAAATCTCATGTCCCAGATGCATTTCAGCAAACACAAACAGTTTTCCTGTGTTGATGGAGTAAAGGATTTCCAATTTTCTTCTGGCCCCTAAGTCTGCGTCGCATGGTAAGTTTAACAGAGTTCTTTCGCTGCGAGGTTGCGGGGAGATTTGCAGGCTGAGCACCACTACTTCGACTTAAGCCATTTCGTCTATGCTTCTTCATCAGGGGGCCAGAATTGGACTCTTCTAATGTCCTTTTAAAGTTTGTTGGAGGGGTTCTTTCAATTTCTTGGGCTTTCATTTGGCCAGGAGTTGACATCTTCAAATTTTTTTGGTCCATGACAGTGTTTGTTGAATTAGTAGGCACAAGGCCAACTGGCAGGCTATTATTCAAAGAATCATGTATCCTTAAAGTCAGGGCTTTAGCACAATTTTCTTCAAGTGGTTCTGGATCTTTTGAGGGCATGACCACACCCTGGACATTCCCTCGAGCTATCTCAGCTGGAACCTCTAAAAAATTCTCTGAGAAGGCATCGCTACGAACCAGGGCAGGTATATGGTCCTTGGAGTTCAGTCGTGGCCATGAATCCTCCTCCAGTGACTGAAAAATAAGGTAAAACAAGTAAGAAAAAACTTATCCTAGAACTCAACAAGCCTATGCATGTGACATTAGGCTTCTTATGAAGCTATTAGGATGGCAAAACATGGTATGCATTCACTAATTCGTTCACCACGTATTTACTAAACTATGTGTAAAGTTTAATGGGAAGAACCTGAGTGAGAAGACAGCATCAAGTAAGAGTGATTCACGCCTGTAATCCCAGCACTTTGGGAGGCTGAGGCAGGCGGCTGAAGAGGTCAAGAGATCAAGACCATCCTGGCCAACATGGTGAAACCCCGACTCTACCAAAAATACAAAAAATTAGCTGGGCAAGGTTGCACGCACCTGTGGTCCCAGCTACTCGGGAGGCTGAAGCGGAAGAATGGGTTGAACCCAGGAGGTGGAGGTTGCAGTGAGCCAAGACCATGCCATTGCATTCCAGCCTGGCGACAGAGCAAGACTCTGTCTCAAACATGGTGAAGATCAAAAGTATCGCATACTCTGTGTATGCTTTTTTTTTTTTTTTTTTAAAGACGGGGTTTCACCATGTTGGTCAGGCTGGTCTTGAACTCCCAACCTCAGGTGATCTGCCCACCTTGGCCTCCAAAGTGCTTGGATTACAGGCGTGAGCCACCACAACCGGCCTGTGTATGTTTTAATTTTACTTTTGGCAATAACATAATGCTGATGAAATTGCTCTAGTTGTTTTTCAGAAAAGCCTTATATTTTCCTTAAGAACCATCAAAAAAATACTTTAAGATGCCATTAAGTGCTTGCTACAGCAGGACATATACTAAAATTGGAATGATACAAACATTAGCATAGTCCCTGTGTGAAGATAACACAAATTCATGCAGCATTACTGATTTAAAAAAAAAAAAAAAAACTTTTAAAAAAATCTCAATTTTTGGCTGGGGGCAGTGGCTCACCCCTACAATCCCAGCACTTTGGGAGGCCAAGGCAGGCAGATTATTTGAGGTTAGGAGTTCAAAACTGGCCTGGTCAATGTGGTGAAACCCCATCTCTACTAAAAGTACAAAAATTAGCCAGGCATGGTGGTGCATGCCTGTAATCCCAACTACTCTGGAGGCTGGGGCAGGAAAACTGCTTGAGACCGGGAGGTGGAGGTTGCAGTGAGAAGAGATCGTACCACTGCACTCCAGCCTGGGTGACAGAGTGAGACTCTGTCTCACAAAAAAATAAATAACAAAAATTAAAATCTCAATTTTCTAATAATGAAAACTAGTGTAACCACTGGGGGGATGGTAGCACCTCAGTGGGATAAGAAACAAATTTGTGGTTTTTTGGTTTATTTCCTATCTCCTAAATTCTAATTTTTGAGTATGTAGTGTGGAAAACATTACAACATTAAAGCACATTATTAAAGCAAAGTACAACATTAAAGCAACTATGTCATAATGGAAAACTCAGATGAAAGCTGCTTTGCACCCATCCTGCAATCACGATATACTGTCCTGTGATCTGAGAAAAGTAGTACATATGGGCCCCTACTGAAATGGTTAGGGAAAGTCTCAGTTAATGAAACAAATGAGAATTATCGAGGGTACTTGCTGTTTTTACAAATGCTGTTTTAAAAAAGCTTCATGTCAATCTAGATAGATACGCACCACTACTTTGGGTGTAGTGCTCTAAATCTACATATACGCAGAATATCGGCTCATCTCCAGGTAAGAACATTCTTACTATCGAACTCAACTCTTCCAACTAATAACATTTCACAAAATCATTGTCTTAATAGTTTATCAAGGTCCAGAGTTAAAGCATAAATACTCTCTCCTCAAAACATGTAAAATTTTCCTCAAGTAGACTCTCAATCAAATTTAGTAAAATTGTAATAGATTCTGAAAAGCCCAAGCAATCCTTTTGTAGAGCGGAAAATAAAGACATATTGATCTTTCTCTGACATAAAATCCTCTATTAATAAACACCTTTTTTAAAAGTGCTATATAAAAGTGTACTTATAGCCGGGCGGGGTGGCTCAAGCTTGTAATCCCAGCACTTTGGGAGGCCGAGGCGGGTGGATCACGAGGTCAAGAGATCGAGGCCATCCTGGTCAACATGGTGAAACCCCGTCTCTACTAAAAAGTACAAAAATTAGCTGGGCATGGTGGCACGTGCCTGTAATCCCAGCTACTCAGGAGGCTGAGGCAGAAGAATTGCCTGAACCCAGGAGGCGGAGGTTGCGGTGAGCCGAGATCGCACCATTGCACTCCAGCCTGGGTAACAAGAGCGAAACTCCATCTCAAAAAAAAAAAAAAAAAAAAAAAAGTATACTTATAATAGGAATGTTTCCTTTGTCTAGAATTAAAAGGAAAGGAAAATAAGAGAGGCAGGGAGGTTCAAAATAAAAGGAAAACTGAAGGCACCCAGAAGCTTCTTTTTTTCTTTTTTTGAGACTGAGTCTTGCTCTGTCACCCAGGCTGGAGTGCAGTGGTACAGTATCTGCTCACTGCAACCTCTGCCTCCTGGGTTCAAGTGATTCTCCTACCTCAGCCTCCCGAGTAGCTGGGGATAGAGGTGTCCGCCACCATACCTGGCTAATTTTTGTATTTTCAGTAGAGATAGGGTTTTACCATGCTTGCCAGGGCGGTCTCAAACTCCTGACCTCAAGTGATCCATCTGCCTTGGCTCCTGCAAAGTGCTGGGATTATAGGGGTGAGCCACCACACCTGGCCCAGAAACTTGTTTCTAAAATGATCTCAATCTAACCACAAACATTAATATGCTTTACTAAAAAACACATATATATTGACTTTAGGACCAATAGACACTGAAGACAAGAACAAAGAATTCTCAGTTACTAACAGGAATTCCTCTATAAAAGAAAAATAATGGGACAATTTCAGAGTTAACATAATATATTGTAATTTCTGTTTAGCTGTGTGCCTTTTTTTTTTTTTTTTTTTTTTTTCTGAGACAGTATCTTGCTCTGTTGCCAGGCTGGAGTCAAGTGGCATAATCTCAGCTCATTGCAACCTTCCCCTCCTGGGTTCAAGGGATTCTCCTGCCTCAACATTCCAAGTAGCTGGGACTACAGGCGTGCACCATCACCCCCAGCTAATTTTTGTAGAGATTGGGTTTTACCATGTTGGCCAGGATGGTCTTGATCTCTTGACCTCACGATCCACCCGCCTTGGTGTCTCAAAGTGCTGGGATTACAGGCGTGAGACACCATGCCCGGCAAGCTATATCTTTTTAAATGTATAGATTATTATTATTCTGACACTACAGGTGTGCTGGCTTCCCTTCCCCCACTTTCTCCTTGAACTTTTCCTTTTCCTTCTCTTTTTATTGGCATTTGGTGGGAATACATTGCATCTGTTAGCACAGGCAACTGTTTAGACTTTTTAGACTTACCTCAGATTGATTTGTATTGCTAAGCCCTGCATGTTCATAAAACAGTTATGTTATATTGAGGTTACCCCCTAAAAACACATACTTTTAAAAAGTTCACTGCTTCAGAGATCAACTTCCTCCTCCCATCTACCCTGTAATCCAATATTAAACAATTAATTACAAATTGGTGCCTAAAACACAACTAAATCTTAAGTTTTAATTTTCTAAATCTCTTTCCTCTTTTCTCCATTCCTTTCTTATAAATCTTAGCTTGTAAAACATAGCTAAATTTAGTTTTGCCCTAAACAAAGAGAAAGAAATGTGAGTCACAGTGATCTACCACTTAAACAAAGGCTTTTCCACTATATTCATCCCAAAACAAAGGCAAATTTATGTCAGAATTCAAATGAAGTTGACATGTTTACAGACAAATCTAGTCTCAAATGCCTAGTATGAATGTGACTAAGTCTCTGAAACTATTCAACGTTAACCAAATAATCATTAAATTTATCTCTATGCACCGGGCGCAGTAGCTTACACTTGTGATCCCAGCACTTTGGAAGGCTGAGGCAGGTGGATCACATGAGGTAAAGAGTCTGAGACCAGCCTAACCAATATGGTGAAACCCTGTCTTTAAAAAAAATGAAAATAAAATAAAATAGAAATAAATTTATCTCTATGCTACTAAACATGAGATTACTTTAACAATGATATAAATGATATAGATAAAATATAGTTGGGAATATTCAACTTTATGTCAATTAAGGTAAATAAAACAAACCAAAAACAATTTCGGGGCAGAAATTTGTCTTTGTTACTTGTTAGATCAGAGCCAACAATATTAATTATTCTGAATTAATCTAAATATTTTCCTGTATTTGGGCAGGGTCAATTGGTTAACAAATAACTATACCCGCATATAAGTTTTGGCATACATACATCTCCTTATCTTTAGTTTGTTATTATTATTAGGTCACTATCAGAATTTAAGTAATTTTTAAAATATATGTTATGTATGGGTTTACTAATGCCAATCAGTAAACTGCAATAATTTTTACTTGAGGTCAATATTAAGAATGCCCTTTTGGGCCGGGCATGGTGGCTGACGCCTGTAATCCAAGCACTTTGGAGGCAAAGGCGGGCAGATCACCTGAGGTTGGGAGTTCAAGACCAGCCTGACCAACATGGTGAAACTCTGTCTTCTTTATACATACATATATATACATACATACATACATACACACACACACACACACACACACACACACACACATACACAAAGAATGCCCTTTTGTCCCTCACACTGTTCCCCACCCTAATGTCTCCTCCTCTATACTACCTAAAGGTCAGTTTATCAGGGAACATAAAAGTAATAATTACATACAAATATTCAGAAATAGGCAAATACACAAACATAAGCTCCTTGACAGCTTCAAAAAGAAAATAAAGAGGTTTTGCTGGGCGCGGTGGCTCACACCTGTAATCCCAGCACTTTGGGAGGCCAAGGCGGGTGGATCATGAGGTCAAGAGATCGAGACCATCCTGGTCAACATGGTGAAACCCCGTCTCTACTAAAAATACAAAAAATTAGCTGGGCATGGTGGCATGTGCCTGTAATCCCAGCTACTCAGGAGGCTGAGGCAGGAGAATTGCCTGAGCCCAGGAGGCGGAGGTTGCGGTGAGCCGAGATCGCGCCATTGCACTCCAGCCTGGGTAACAAGAGCGAAACTCCGTCTCAAAAAAAGAAAAAAAAGAAAAGAAAGAGGTTTTAAAAGGTTTCAACCTGCATTACCATTCAGCTTTCAAAGAAAGCTTTTGTAAATGAAAATACTCCATTTTGGCAGGGCACAGTGGCTCACACCTGTAATCCCAGCACTTTGGGAGGCCGATGTGAGTGGATCACCTGAGGCCAGGAGTTCAAGGCCAGCCTGGCCAGCATGGTGAAACCTCATCTCTACTAAAAATACAAAAAATTAGCAGGGCGTGGTGGCAGGCTCCTGTAATCCCCACTACTTGGGAGGCTGAGGCAGGAGAATTGCTTGAACCCAGGAGGTAGAGGTTGCAGTGAGACACGATCGTGCCACTGCACTCCACCATGGGCCACAGGAGTAAAACTCTGTCTCAAAAAAAGAAAATATTTCATATCATCTGATCATATGTGTTTTTTGCCATATGTATGTAAAGTGAAAGAAAGCCAAGCAGTGACAATACATTTCTAAATACTGATTATAGGTTTATAATGCCCAAATTTAAAGGCCTTTGACACTTTTAAAAACTGCCTGAATAGATGACATTAGATTTTGCTATAATTCCCATTTTAATGGTCAGTATACTGCAAACACATTCTCAGAAGGCCAGAATAGCCATACTATATATTAAAGCAATTATCAATCAATATTGTTAATTTTTATTGGGAAAAAATTAGTATGAAAACATAACTAGGTATCTGAATTCTTAGTAAATCAAAATAGAAAAGTATGGTATCAACTTAAAATTTGCTTATTTCACAGCAGATCTTAAACTCATTCAATATGAACATTGATAAAAAACAGGAATACGGTTTCTTTTATTTTTTTTTTGAGACAGAGTCTTGCTCTGTTGCCAGGCACCAGGCTGGAGTGCAATGGCACAATCTCGGCTCACTGCAACCTCCACCTCTTGGGTTCAAGCAATTCTCCTGCCTCAGCCTCCGAAGTAGCTAGGACTACAGGCGTATGCCACCACGCCCAGCTAATTTTTGTATTTTAGTAGAGACAGGGTTTCACCATGTTGGCCAGGATGGTCTCAATCTCTTGACCTCTTCAGCCGCCCGCCTCAGCCTCCCAAAGTGCTGGGATTACAGGCGTGAGCCACCGCGCCCAGCGGAGGAATAAGGTTTCTTATACAAGTCAACAGACAACCAGTTCTAATGTCTGCTATCCTCAGGTCCAGCTCAATCTTGATTCTCTACGACCTTGTTCAGACAGTTTAATGAATAAGGTTTCTTATACAAGTCAACAGACAACCAGTTCTAATGTCTGCTATCCTCAGGTCCAGCTCAATCTTGATTCTCTACGACCTTGTTCAGACAGTTTAATCTCTCAGGTTTATTACTGATAAAATGAAATAATATTTGCTCTACTTCTGGGCTATGAGATTCAAATAAAATATATTTAAGTGCTTCATTTGTAACTTCTAAATACTTTAAAAATAATGTTCATGGCATCAGATGGCAAACGATAATATTCTTAAGGAGCCCAAATCACCTTTTTATTAGTTCTGTACACACAGCTGGCATTCAGATTAGTACTGATGTAAAGATGGCTCTTTGATAATAAGTTACATCACTTTGTTGAATCAAGTTCAAATCCAAAATCCTGTAAGAATTTAAAAATTGTTTCCAGGTGACACTAACCAAAGAATTGATGACTACTAAAACATAACTTAAAAACTATGGAACTATATACCTTTACTGGTGGTGTAGAACATGGGGAAGGAGTCATCACACAGGTTTCTTGACTGTTATAGGAAGGGCTATCAGTCAGGTTCAGATATAACTCATCTTCATTGGTAAAATTTCCCTGATTGTCCACTTCTGGAGAGATGCAGATTACTATGGCACTAGTGTTATCTGCTCGGAGCATACGCTGTCTCCAGCGGCCTAATGCTCGATTCACAAGCATTTTGGCACAAGATTGTCCATGCTCACCCTGTATTCAAAAGAATAAGGAGAAGGAAAGTAACTCAGATTTAGCTGCCACTACATCTGTATCAAATTAAATAACTGGTGTTCATTGTGGCCTAAATAAAGCTCCCAAATTTTCACACATTATCCCCAGTCTCCTGAGCTATGTTAAAATAGTACTTTTCTGAATTAAAACAAGTACTAACAAAACACGGTTTTAGACTGTCATTAAATTTCACTCAGATATTATTATCAAGAAACTCAGCCTTCACTGTAACTTTAATTAGAAAAAGTTATAAAGAAGTTACTGAAAAAGAAAGTAAACATCAAGTTATTTAGAAAACATAATTCACAAACAAGACAATCAGGCACGGTGAAAAAAATCATTACAAAGGGTCAATTTCCTCCTAACATAAGAGCTTCTGCAAATCGAAAACAATGACTCAACATAAAAATTGTCAAAGGATATAAACAAAATCCAGAGAAAAGGAAATATAAACAACTTACGTGTGTGTGTGTGTGTGTGTGTGTGTGTGTGTGTGTGTATAAACAGTCAATGTCACTCATATGGGGAAAAAGTAACAGGTAATTGTTTATAGTATGGAGAACAAATATATACCAACCAAATGAGTAAAGAAAACAAAACCAAAAGGATCTCATTTTATGCAAATACATGTGGCTTGGAATAAAACTTTCAGTGTCATATATAAATTTAAAATCTGCTGAGTTTCAAATAGAAATGAAAATGGTGTACTCCAGAAAATAAGCCTACCTTTTTTTTTTTTTGAGATGGAGTTTTTTATTTTATTTTATTTTTTTTTTGAGACGGAGTTTCGCCCTCGTTACCCAGGCTGGAGTGCAATGGCGCGATCTCGGCTCACCGCAACCTCCGCCTCCTGGGTTCAGGCAATTCTCCTGCCTCAGCCTCCTGAGTAGCTGGAATTACAGGCACGAGCCACCATGCCCAGCTAATTTTTTGTATTTTTAGTAGAGACGGGGTTTCACCATGTTGACCAGGATGGTCTCGATCTCTCGACCTCGTGATCCACCTGCCTCGGCCTCTCAAAGTGCTGGGATTACAGGCCTGAGCCACCGTGCCCAGCCGAGAGTGCAATGGCGCGATCTCAACTCACCATAACCTCCGCCTCCCCAGTTCAAGCAATTCTCTTGCCTTAGCCTCCCTAGTAGCAGGGATTGCAGGTACCCAACACCACACCCAGCTAATCTTATTTATTTATTTATTTGTTTGTTTATTTATTTATTTATTTATAGTAGAGAGAGTTTCACCATGTTGGCCAGGCTGGTCTCGAACTCCTGACCTCAGGTGATCTGCCCGCCTCGGCCTCCCAAAGTTCTGGGATTACAGGTGTGAGCCACCACGCCTGGCTGCCTACATGTATTAAAAGTACCTGAAGAAATAAATGAATGATGAAAAAGAGTGGAAATCTGTTTGTTTGTTTTTGAGACAGGGTCTCCCTCTGTCACCCAGGTTGGAGTGCAGTGGTGTGACCTCAGCTTACTGCAGTCTCAACCTCCTGGGCTCAAGTAATCCTCCCACCTCAGCTACTCAGAAGGCTGAGGCAGGACAATCAGTTGAACCCAGGAGGTGGAGGTTGCAGTGAGCCAAGATTGCACCATTGCACTCCAGCCTGGGGGACAAAGTGAGATTCTGTCTCAAAAACAAAAACAAAAGCGTATTATTTCAATAGATGCTGAGAAAGCATTTCATAAAATTGAACATTCCTTTTATGATTAAAAAAAAAAAAAGCTCTCATCAAAGGTGGGTATAGTAGATATATACCTCAAAATGACAAACCCACAGCTAACATCATACTGAATGGGGAAAAAAATCGAAGGTCTTTCCTCTAAGGACTGAAATAAACAAAGATGCCCCACTCTCACTACTGTTACTCAATACAATACTGGAAGTTGCCTGGCCGTGGTGGCTCGCGCCTGTAATCCCAGCACTTTGGGAGGCTGACGCAGGTGGATCATTTGAGGTCAGGAGTTCAAGACCAGCCTGACCAATATGGTAAAACTCTGTCTCTACTAAAAATACAAAAATCAGCCAGGTGTGTTGGTAGGCACCTGCAATCCTACCTACTCGGGAGGCTGAGGCAGGAGAATCTCTTGAACCCGGGAGGCAGAGGTTGCAGTGAGCCGAGATCGTGCCATTGCACTCCAGCCTAGGAGACAGAGCAAGACTCTATGTCAGGAAAAAAAATACAATACTGGAAGTCCTGGCCAGAGCAATTAGGCAAGACAAAGAAATAAAGGGCATCCAAACTGGAAACGAAGAAGTCAAATGAGCCTTGTTTGCACATAACATGATCCCCTACCTACAAAAACCAAAAATGACACCAAAAAAACTGTTAGAGCTGATAAATTCAGTTAAATTGCAGGACACAAGATCAACATACAAAAAAAAAAAAAAAAAAAAAAACCAAAAAAAACCCCGCAGCATTTACTATACCAACAGCAAACAATCTGAAAAAGAAATCAAGAAAGCAATCCCATTTCCAATAGTATACAAATAATAAAATACCTAGTAATCAATTTAACCAAAGTTGTGAAAGACTATAAAGGAAAACTAGAAAATACTGATGAAAGAAATTGAAGAGGACACAAAAAATAGAAAGATAGTCCATGCTTATGGATCGGATGGATTAACATTGTTAACATACTACCCTAAGCAATTTACAGATTCAATCCCTATCAAAATTGCAATGACATTCTTCATATAATTTCTTTTTTTTTTTTTTTTTTTTTTTTTTTTTTTTTTGCGACGGAGTTTCGCTCTTGTTACCCAGGCTGGAGTGCAAATGATATCATTTGCACTACTTGAAAGTGTACAAATTTCTTTACATACATACACACAAAACTATACATTTTTATACACAAAAACTATATATATTTGAAGTAAGTATGGTTTACTTCAAAATTTTTAAAGTGTGTTTTAAAATCTCTATTTTTAAGTGTAGTTATGTCCACTCAATTTTTTTTTTTTTTTTTGAGACGGAGTTTCGCTCTTGTTACCCAGGCTGGAGTGCAATGCGCGATCTCGGCTCACCGCAACCTCCGCCTCCTGGGTTCAGGCAATTCTCCTGCCTCAGCCTCCTGAGTAGCTGGGATTACAGGCATGTGTCACCATGCCCAGCTAATTTTTTGTATTTTTAGTAGAGACGGGGTTTCACCATGTTGACCAGGATGGTCTCAATCTCTTGACCTCGTGATCCACCCGCCTCCTCCTCCCAAAGTGCTGGGATTAGAGGCTTAAGCCACTGCGCCCGGCCCTTTTTTTTTTTGACCAAAAGTCTCACTCTGTCACCCAGGCTGAAGTGCAGTGGAACAATCTCGGCTCACTGCAACCTCTGCCTCTTGGGTTCAAGTGATTCTCCTGTGTCAGCCCCCTGAGTAGCTGAGATTACCAGCGCATGCCACCATGCCCAGCTAATTTTTATATTTTTAGTAGAGATGGGGTTTCACCATATTGGCCAGGGTGGTCTTGAACTCCTGACCTCAGGTGATCCACCCGCCCTGGCCTCCCAAAATGCTGGGATTATGGGCATGAGCCACCGTGCCGGGTCTACATGTATTTGTGTTTTTTCCAAAAACCATTGTTGCCTTAGATCAATCCTACAAACTTTCTTGCTCAAATATCACTCTCTTCCATGAAGCTTCCTATGAAGTCTTCTGAAGTTTTCTATTGTCTCACTCTCTCAGGTCTCATAAGACTTGTTCTAATTATTATTATATGGATGCTTCCTTCAATACTCATCTTAAAATACTTTAGTGTCCATAAATAGGTTCTTCCAACCTACTACAAACTAGCTTTTGTTTTTATGCCATTGAAATGATCTCTCTCAGATCATTAAAGAATTCTAAATCCATTAGACAGAACAGTCTTTATGCTACTCTTTGATATCTGATGATCTCCGACTAAATGCAACACACCAGGCCCTGTAATTGTAAAACTGAATCAAGATGACTCTCGCCTTTAAAGAACTCATAATCTGGCTGGGCGCAGTGGCTCACGCCTGTAATCCCAGCACTTTGGGAGGCCAAGTCGGGTGGATCACAAGGTCAAGAGATCGAGACCATCCTGGTTAACATGGTGAAACCCCGTCTCTACTAAAAATACAAAAATTAGCTGGGCATGGTGGCGCACGCCTGTAGTCCCAGCTACTCGGGAGGCTGAGGCAGGAGAACTGCCTGAACCCAGGAGGCGGAGGTTGCAGTGAGCCGAGATCGCGCCATTGCACTCCAGCCTGGGTAACGAGCGAAACTCCGCCTCAAAAAAAAAAAAAAAAAAGAACTCATAATCTAATGGGATTGTTAGTTATTTATATATTCTATTTATAACAATATGGTAAGTGCTGAGGAAGGACCATATTCTATTTACTTTTGTAACCCCTGTACCTAATATGTTAGTTCAGTGAATGAATGGAGGCAATTTTTTTTTTTTTTTTGAGACAGAGTTTCATTTTTACCACCCAGGATGGAACCCGATGGCATAATCTTGGCTCACTGCAACCATTGCCTCCCAGGTTCAAGAGATTCTCCTGCCTCAGCCTCCTAAGTAGCTGGGACTACAGGCATGTGCCACTACACTTGGCTAATTTTGTATTTTTAGTAAAGGCGGGGTTTCACCACATTGGCCAAGCTGGTCTTGAACTCCTGATCTTGAGTGATCCACCCGCCTCGGCCTCCCAAAGTGCTGGGATTACAGATTTGAGCCACCACACCTGGCCTGAATGGAGGCAATTTAACAAAAATTCAATCAATTTGCCCCTCGTTTCACCTCAAAATACAGCTTTACCATTTCTTCCATCTAAGAGAAAGCTCATCTTTTCTAAGGATAACCCATCTGTGGGTCTTTGATTCCAGATACATCCATGTACTCTGTTAGGGAATGATGATGAAAATGTGAGATTAGAAGTTGGGCATGGCAGCACAGTAGTCCCAGTTAATCAGGAGGCTCAGGTGAGAGGACTGCTTAAGCCTAGGAGTTCTAAACGAGCCTGGGGAACATAGTTAGACCTCATCGCTTGGAGGGAAAAAAAAAAAAAAAAGTAGTAGAAGTAGTGGTAAAGGAGGCCAGACACGGTGGCTCACGCCTGTAATCCCACCACTTTGTGGGGTTGAGACAGGCAGATCACCTGAGGTAAGGAGTCCAAGACCTGCCTGGCCAACATGGTAAAACCCCATCTCTACCAAAAATACAAAAAATTATCTGGGTGTGGTGGCCCATGCCTGTAGTCTCAGCTATTCGGGGGGCTGAGGTGGAAGAATCGCTTGAACCTGGGAGACAGAGGTTAGAGTGAGCTGAGATCACACCACTGTACTCCAGCCTGGGTGACAGATCAAGATTCTTTCTCAAAAAAAAAGTGGTGGTGATGGTTGCACAGCTTTGTCAACTACACTAAGAATTACTGAATTATATACTTTAAAAGGATAAATTTTACGGTATGCAAATTATATGTCATTTTTAAAATAAGGAATTAGCAATGTTTCATAGGCCAATTTATACTGAAGTCAGTGGTTGTGCATTTTGTTATTAGGTTTCTCTTACTTATTTCTTGTCTCATTCCCCTAATGATTAGGATCTACAAAGCCTATATTTTACCCACTAGGAGATCTAGGCAAATGCAAGAATCTACCCAAGGTGAATGTCCTTAATTCATATTCAAGACCCTAATAGAAGTACCAAAACAATGTTTAAACAACAATATCAAGTTATTGAATCACTTCTCACCATCAGGTATTTTTTCTCCTCTTGGTCCTGGCACATTGAGATGGCATCTTGAGGTGGAATCATATTCCAAAGTCCATCACTCCCCAATATAATATACTTGTGCTTCTGAGGGTCCAGAGTGTGGACACTTGTGTCTGGTTCAGGTGACACCACAAACTCACCACTGAAGAAATCATAGCTCCACAAATCACCTGGGGGAAGGGAGCAGAAAAAGAAAGAAGTATTAGTTGGAAGCCAATAGTATGACAGCAACAGATTAAAAGACAATCTACACAGTCTCAATAGACGCAGAAAAGCATTTGGTAACATTCAAACTTCTTTCACGATAAGACTCTCTAGCAAAGTAAGAATAAAAGGGAACCCCCTTAACCTGATAAAGTACATCCACTAGAATTCTGTAATAATCATTTTGAAGATAAAATGTTAACTGTATTCCCTTTAAAATGCAGGAATAAGAAAACTATACCTTGTATCATTGCTTCTCTTCTAATACTATACTGAGTCCTTCCCAGCACAGTAAGATAATAAAAATAAAAGGTATACAAAATGGAAAAGAGAAAATAATATTATTATTACAGATAATTTCACTTCTTTTTTTAATCTTGAAACAGAACCAGCTGAGATAATTTCATTTCTACACTGAAAACCAAAAAGAAATTATTACAGTAGAAAAGTTTAGCAAAGTTGTTAAATACAAACCCAATATGTAAGTCAATAGTATTTCTTTTTTTTTTTTTTGAGACAGAGTTTCGCTCGTTACCCAGGCTGGAGTGCAATGGTGTGATCTCGGCTCAACGCAACCTCCGCCTCCTGGGTTCAGGCAATTCTCCTGCCTCAGCCTCCTGAGTAGCTGGGATTACAGGCATGCGCCACCATGCCCAGCTAATTTTTTGTATTTTTAGTAGAGACGGGGTTTCATCATGTGGACCAGGATGGTCTCGATCTCTTGACCTCATGATCCACCCGCCTCGGCCTCCCAAAGTGCTGGGATTACAGGCGTGAGCCACTGTGCCTGGCCTAACAGTATTTCTATACAATAGCAATACTTAGAAAATACAAATTTTTAAATAATCTGATTTTAACAATGAACAAGATATAAGGTAATTAGGAACAAATTTAACAAAAGGTATACACACCTGTTATGAAAATTATAGGATCTATTTTGAAACATTAAAAAGATAATCGAAATAAATGAAGTAACCAATCACATTCATAGATAGGAATACTTGTTAAAATAAAAATATTAATTCTTCCCAAAATAATCTACAAAGTCAATGTAATTCTAACCAAAATCCCAAAAGGACTGCTGTAGAATTTGATAGGCTAAGCACAAAGGGCCAGGATTAATCAAGATAATTTTGAAGAAAAAGGACAAAATGCGAACTTACCCTACCTAACAGAAGTGCCAATGGCTGTGTGCAAACTTCCTGTTAACCCCTAGAGAAGTACAGTACCTACACCAAAACTTACAGAATGAGTACCAGTCACTTGGAAGAAAATTCAAAATCGAAAACAGCATTTTAAGGCTCTTTACCAACCGTATGACCAGCCTTTGGAGAGCAACAGTTCTCCCTGTCAGTGAGCCAGAAAAAGAAGGCTCTTACTTTTATCCTTCTCCTTGATTAGCTCTACATAAAAACAATGCCTAAACTTCTGCCTGTAGACCTATTAGATATAGTCAACCCAAACCAAAAAAAAATCAATAAAACTGAAACAGAAGAAAATAAAAATGATTTATAGAAACCATCTACTTTTCTGTAATACGTAAGATAACATAATGAAACAATATAAATTTTTCTTTTGTTTCCAATAAATGAGGAAGAGACAGAAAGGAGAAAACATTAATTTCCACCTCTTTGGTTTATTATGAATTACGTAAGGGAAAGGCCTAAATTAAAAGCAAAAGATTTTCAGACAAGAGGTTAAACAATTTTTGTCCCCTTTCAGTAAGTCTCTTTTTTTGTTGTTGCTAAACAAAAGGAAGCTCTTTGTCCTTTTCCTTATTTAAACTTCCCCATTAGCGCCCATCAGAAATACTGGCAATTCAAACATGCTCAGAGTCCAACCAAATAATTCAAGTCAATTACTCCCACTCAAAAATAGCAAAATCATTACTAACCAGACTCTTCAAAGAGCAATTCAACCCTCTGAGCAGTAGAACAGAACACATGCAACCACTAAAATCTAATTATAATCCAGATAAGCTCACAAAGATACATTTACCTCTTTATAACAGAAAATAAAGCTCTCTGATTGACAAAATAATAAAAATCAAACATGGAGACAGTTAGTGGCACAATCACGGCTCACTGCAGCCTTGATCTCCTGGGCTCAAGTGATCCTCTTAGGATCCTGCCACTGCACTCCAGCATGGGCAACAGAGTGAGACTCCATCTTTTAAAAAAAAAAAGGGAAGACAGTTTTTTTGCACAATGACCTTTAAATTGGATCCATTGGATTGTCTCCTCATGCTCTACGGTGGTTCATGTCCAGGTAAACTCATTTTTGGCCATAGAACTACAGTGCTGATGTCATGTCCTTCTCTTTATATCACATGAGGAGAGACAGTGTGTCAGTCTGTCCTACTATTGTTTGAGGCTCTATGAAATATCCTGTTCTGTACCAAAATATGCCATATTTTAGCATCTGCTGATGATTCCTGAATGAATCAATTATTACTATAATGGTTATAAACTGATGATAGAACATTCTAACTGCATTTATTAGCTGACAGTTTTACTTTACTTTGGTTCTTTTTTCTCCTTTTTCCCAACCTCCAAACGTCTTTTTTTTCTGACAGGGGCTTACTCTGTAGCCCAGGATGGACTGCAGTGGTGGCTCATTGCAGCCTTGGCCTCTCAGACTCAAGCAATCCTCTCACCTGTCTCCCAAGTTGCTGGGACTACAGGCGTGCACCACCACACCCAGCTAATTTTTTTGTATTTTTTCTACAGATGGGGTTTAACCATGTTGGCCAGGCTGGTCTCAAACTCCTGAGCTCAAGTAATCCACCCACTCCTGCCTCTCAAAGTGCCAGGATTACAGGAACAAGCCACTGTACGTGGCACAGAAATCTTTTTTTTTTTTTTTTGGAGATGGATTCTTGCTCTGTCACCTACGCTGGAGTGCAATGGCTCGATCTTTGCTCATTGCAACCACTGCCTCCTGGGTTCACGTGATTCTCCTGCCTCCTGAGGAGCTGGGATTACAGGCACACACTACCACGTCCAGCTAATTTTTTGTATTTTTGGTAGAGACGGGGTTTCACCATGTCAGCCATGCTGGTCTTGAATTTCTGACCTTGTGATCCTACCGCCTTGGCCTCTCAAAGTGCTGGGATCACAGGCATGAGCCACCGTGCCCAGCCCCCAAAAAAGTTTTTCTTTGTTCTTGTTTTTTTTTTTAACAGAGTCTCACTCTGTCAGCCAGGCTGGAGTGCAGTGGTGCAATCTCGGCTTACTGCAACCTCTGCCTCCCAGGTTCAAGCAATTCTCCTGCCTCAGCCTCCTGAGTAGCTGGGACTACAGGCGCATGCCACCATGTCAGGCTGATTTTTTGTATTTTCAGTAGAGATGGGGTTTCACCGTGTTAAGTCAGGATGGTTTTCATCTCCTGACCTCATGATCCACCTGCCTCGGCCTCCCAAAGTGCTGGGATTACAGTCATGAGCCACTGTACCTAGCCCAAAAGTCTTTTTTAAAGAAGAGTCTTGCTTGGAGTCTCTGGATCTGCTGGGGCTGGGGGGGACAGGGGGCGTGGCACATTCAATCTGCAAATCATTCATTGCCCAATTAAACACCTTTAAATGTTAAAAAAAAAAAAAAAAAAAAAGGTTTTCCATTCTTCTACCTGTACATTCTGTCTCAACAGAGACTTACAGAATCTTTTTTATTCAATATTTTTAAATTTATTCCCGTTATGATTCGTTTTGATGCTCAAGTTCTTTTGAATTTGCTGGTATAAGTCCCTTGTAACAAACTCACCAGACAGATGATTCATATTCATAGTCACTTTCCCCTGTTTCACCAGTTCAAAACGTCTATGTGACTATGTAAGATCAGATAACTGGTAACTATCAGAACTGGGCCTTTAACTAAGGTTTTTATTATTGGTCTAGGGTTTGTACACCAAAGAAAGATCACAGAACATCATTTCCGTAGGTCCTGAAAGGAGGTGCCTTGAATGCTGGCAGACAGCCAATTCCCTTTTTTCTTCAGTAGAGGGCACTGAAAGGATACCAGAAAAGAGGAGGCCTTTCTTCTGGTTCCAGTATATTTCTGCTTGATCCTTGGCAGATGGCAACCATTAGTCCACAAGACATTCAGTGGTCCTTACCCCTAGCAAATTTCAGCACCCCTCTGAGTGGCTTCCCATGGAGAATGTCCAACAATGTTTACAGCCTCTAATCCAGGCATCCCCGAACTACCGCCCGAAGGCCGCATGCGGCCCCCTGAGGCCATTTATCAGGCCACCCGCCGCACTTCAGGAAGGGGCACCTCTTACATTGGTGGTCAGTGAGAGGAGCACAGTATGTGGCGGCCCTCAAACGGTCTGAGGGACAGTGAACTGGCCCCCTGTGTAAAAAGTTTGGGGACACCTGCAATCCATTCTCAAAATGGCAATCAAAATTCTCTTTAAAACACTAACCTATCGCTTCTCGGCCTTTTGGCTAAGATCAAGTGTAGTATCTGTTCTTATCAGTTTAAAACACTAACCTACTGGATTAAAGATTTAAATGTAAGATCTCAAACTGTGAGAATCCTGGATGGACATCAGCCTTGGGAAAGAATCTATGATTAAATCCTCAAAAGCAACTGCAACAAAAACAAAAATTGACAGGCGGGACCTAATTAAAGAGCTTCTGCACACCAAAAGAAACTATCAACAGAGTAAATAGGCAACCTACAGAAAGGGAGAAAATATTCACAAACTATGTATTTGACAAAGATCTAATATCTAGAATCTATAAGGAACTTAAACAATTTAACAAGTTAAAAACAAATAATCCCATTAAAAAGTGGGCAAAAGGCATCAACAGACACTTTTCAAAGGAAGACATGCAAGTGGTCAACAAACATAAAAAGCAGCACATTACTAATATAGAGAATGCAAATCAAAACCACAATGAGTTACCATCTCATACCAGTGAGAAGAGCTACTATTAAAAAGTCAAAAAATGACAGATGCTGGC